TCCTCGGGCTGCGGGCAGAGTCGCCGGGCGCTGCAGGGGTCCGCAGCCGATCGGGTCCCCTTTCACGGACGGGAAACCCGGGCGCCGCGACCACACGAGGCTTTAGAGCGAGAAAGGACCACACTAGAGCGAGGAAGGAGCAGGGACGATCCAAGAGTCCCGTTTGTGTCCCCTGCTCTAAGTCGATGCTGGGGCGGGAGGCGCGGGGCGCCGGGAGGACAGAGGAGCCAGACCGCAGCCGGACCGCAGCCGCTCCGAGGTGAGCACCACGCCCCTCCCGAATCTCCACCCTCTCTTTACAGACCCCAAAACCGAAAGAGTAAGCGGAGGACCATCACCTGTGAGGGGGGGGCGACCCCGGGGCGGCTGGGGGCCTGTGGGCTGTCTTGAAGGGCGGGGGGCTCTTCCCCGAGCTCAGGAAACGCGTTTCCAAACCCAGGACCCCACCGCCCCTGCCTTCTGTTGTTCCTCTCTGCAGACATCCCCTGGGTCCCTGTGAGTGTCAAACTGTGACCCCAGAATTGACCTGGACGAGGGGATGGGTGGCGTCGGAAGATGTGCACCAGATCTGATCTGCTGACTAAGCACCCCCAACCCCTCCTGGGGAAGGCCTCATCTGACCCGCAGGAAGTGGCCGAGGAGGTACTACCCGGAGAAAAACTCAGTATGTGTTTCCAAGAAAGATGAACCGTGGCTGACCCTTCCCTGGTCAACGGGCAGACCACAGAGGAGAGCCACCACGGAAATCAATTACTTTGGCCTCTCTAGCCAGCTGCCCGGCCCAGCACGCCGCAGCCAGCCCCCTGCCATGTCCACCACTCTATGCTCCTCTCTGCCCAACCATTGTCTTCAGACTGTACCCAGGACTCAGACTTGCTCACTACCAGTGAAGCACACGCCAGCCATGAGCTAGAACAGCCCACAGCATCTGCCAGGCTTTAGAGATGGTGTCTCTGTTAAACCAAGAGCAGAACTGACACTCAGAGCCACTGGAGCAGAGATTGCCAGGGCTTGATTGGATCCTCCCTTCCTGAGCATGTACACTTCTCCACATTCAATTGAGTGTGACCCATTTTCTCTACTGAAACCAAATAAAACACCCAATAATAATACAGTGCTTTACGTTTTCTTTTTAAACAATATTGGGTATTAAAGATACGTTCCTTAAAGATCAGAGGTGTCTAGACTATCTGGACTCCTTGGTTGTGCCTGTAACCCAAGCCATTTTACTGAGCTCTGGGTGCCTTCTAGGACCATGCTATAGGATGGTTAAAATCCGAAGTGTGGGCAGCTGAAGGGCTGAGAACATTTCCATTGTCCCTAGCTGTCCTCAGAACACTTAATGTTAACTGAGGGCTTTGTACCTCTTGGGTACTGGCCTTTATATTGGTCAGTCTCATTTAACCTTGTCAAAACTGTGTGTGTGGGAAAAGCACAGAGAATAGTGACTGAGGCAGAGAGCCACCTAAAATATCAGCAGTGATCATTACTTCTAGCAAATCACTGCTATGTCCTTAACGGTGACAGAAGCCCCAGAGACACAGAGGAATATGCCTGAGGTCATAAAATCTAGAAAATCAGACAGAATTGAATGTGCAGATGTTCTCCAGCTTACGATCTATAATTCGTGGAAGTGATGTGCATTCAGTAGAATCCAGATTTGAATTATGTATTTTGGTGTTTTCCTGGGTTGGTGACACCTGCAGGATGACATTCCCCCTCGTTGCTGGGCAGTGGGCTGCAGCATCACAGGAGGAAACAGTTCTTTGTAGTACACAGACTGCATCACTAAGCTGTGGTGTTGGGTGAATTACACATATTCAATGTGATTTTGAGCTTTGATTATTTCAATTTACGACGGGCTCACCAGGATGTAGTCCCATTGTAAGATAAGGAGCACCTGTAGTTGAGTGTCACCGGGAAGGCATTTCCCCGGAGGGGCTACAAGTGACAGCTGTCACAGCCACAAAATGACACCTGCTTGCCACCTCCCTTCTGTCTGTTCCCAGGGCCCAGGCACAGTGAAGGGTTCATAAGTCAGGAGGGGCCAGCTCAGGCCCACCACCCTCTCCAACTGCTGCACCCTGGGGGCTGGGCTTCCTCCTACAACTTCTCCCAGAAAACCTCATTCCTCCCAGCCACCTTCCCTGGGCTGCCCTGGTCCCCTCCCTGGAGACCTGGCTGATGCTTCTGTTGCCCTTGTGTTTCAGCATGGAATGAGAGCTGGCCTTAGGCCCCAGCCCTACCCAGGGGGGGCAGGAGAGCCCTGTACCGGGAGAGAGTGGAAAAAAGAGTGTGGTAGAGCAGGAAGTAGCCGGCAGGGTGCAGGGTAACAGGGCAGAGGGCGTGCTAGAGTCTGCCTGGCCCGCTGATAAGCTGGCCACAGAAGCTGAGCAAGCAGAGACTTTCACAGCAAGGAGACACTCACAGAGGCCTAGGAGAATGCGGAAAGGTCGGCTGGCCCCTGACCCCTGGTCAGGATGAGGAAACCTGCAGCCGGGTGGGTCTCCCGCAGACCCATGGCTAGTGGGGAGCATTTCTCTTGCCAATCAGTCTTCAAAGTCGGTCCCTTGCTTCCTCCTGTTGTGCCTGTGCATTTTGTTAGGAAGCTGCGGGCCAGGTGTGCCGATCCCACCTTGGAAGACTGGCTTGTTTTCTAATTTTGACTCTGCCTTTGCCCTCCTCTGTAACATGGCAGTAATAACCACATCGACAGCAAGGATTCCGTGGTTATCAGGAGTGAGTATCGGGCCTGCCACAGCGGGCAGTGGAGGCACAGTGTTTGCAGTCGCTGGTGACGGGTGCTTTTCCTCCTGCTGCTGTGGAAGGACGGCTCCATTCTCAGCCCTGGTCACCAACACCCCGGAGAAGCTTTGATTGGCATCAAGACTCAGTGTCCCCAACCCAAGCAAAGCTCATCTCTGCATGGCGTGTATCACCTGTCCAGCTGCCCTGGACTTTTCTGGATGTGGATATTGGAGGTAGACTGAGGTCCCTCCCCTGGTGACCATCTAGAAGAGATTTCTAAAACCCAGTAGTCTACAAGGCGGCACCTGTTCTACTTCTGGGCACCTGGGCAAACCCCCACTATTTTTTGCATGTCCCAGTGACCCTTCGTGGGTGTGGTTAACACAGCCGGCTGATGTGTACTCAGGTGCACAGGGCAGCAGCCACACGTCATGCGTAGTTTTATTTAATTCTTAGCCCAACCCTTTTACAGAAAGGGGGAGCTGAAGGACAGAGAGGTCAGGCGGCCTGCCCAGTGACAAATTTTTGTAACGGTGGTTCCAGAATTCAACTTCTGGCTGCTTCCACTCCAAAGGGCACCGTTATTGGGAAATATTAATGCTGGAAAAAAAAAAAAAACCACCAAATATCTGTCAAAAGAAGAGTGGACCAAGGGAGGTATATTTATACCATGGGATACAACTCAGTAACAAAAGGGGAAGAAATCCCAATGCACACAACTTGGATGGTTCTAAAATCCTTGAAAAACAAACACCATGCATAGACATATATTGCTCTGACTGAAATCCGAGTACAGGAGAAGCCATCTAGAGCGGCAGAGTTCTCGCTGTTGCCTGGGGGAAGGGCAGTGGCTGGGAAGATAAAATGCAGGGTGTTCTGTGTCTTGTATGTGGCAGCTCTACAGTGTACACGATCGTCAGAGCTCATCAAAGTAAAAAACGGGACTGATGAAAAGAATAAAGTCCACTGGGGTGGGGCGGGGGCGGGGAATGCATAGGTTATTTGCAAACATGACACCATTTAGCAGAAAACTTAAGCATCCTTGGATCTGGGTATCTGTGGGGATCCTGGAATATCCATCCCCACGGGTGACTGTGTGTCTTTCAGGGAGCACACGTGCGCGTTTCTGTTGCGCACACCACCTGTGGGTGGATCACTGGGTCACGGAATGTGTGTGTGTTCGGTTTTGGGTTTGTCCGCCAAAGATTTCTCCAGAGAGCTGGCACCAGTCCACAGCCGCTCACAGCATCTGAACTCTCCAGTCTGCGCTTTTAAATATGATTCCCCTTTCCTTGTACAGAGGGAGTGTTGGCCTGGGGTCCCCTGGGGCGGTAGGTCCTGAACCTGGCCCCGTGTTGGAACTCAGAATCACCAAATTCCTGGGCCACTCCTGCAGGTTTTGGGGTTGTCTGAGGATGGGATGTCACCTCCAGGTGGGGAAGGTCCTTTTCTCGTCCTCCCAACATCCCAGGTGCTCGGACCAGTACCTGACATGTGGCTGGCACCCAAGAAATGTATTTTTTAAAGTTCAGTGAATGAGTTGAGGAACAAGGAGACCCTTGTGGGCCTCTGAGAGGGCAGGGGCCCCTG